TTAAGAAATCAGTGATCATGTGACCAAACCTCCATGGAAACAATTTAAGCTTTCGACGGTCACTTTGATTACTGATTTCCAACAATAAACATCTTTATTTACTAGAACTTTCTCTCTGTTTTACACCAGGCGCTAAAAGTCATCAGACATAGCAGAAAAGGCAGTACGACAACTATAAAAACACACAAATATGTCAAAAAAAAAAAAGAAAAAAAAAATATAGGCAAAGCACATAAGCAAAAATGAAAGACAAGACTACAAAAAATTACCACAGCAAAACAACACATTGGACGGATACATAAGTACCGGGCCACGCCAAATGGATATTACCAAAAATGGACTAAACAGTAAAGGTTAATAATTTACAAAGACAAATAAAAGAACACTATAACACGTAATTATGATGATAAACAACGTCAGTATCTAGAATCTATAGTTCAAGACCATCATGAATTATTTGTGAAGTTGATACGGAATATTTTTCAACAAGGTCTTGGTATCTTAGGATGAACTTTTTTTTAGAAAAAGGACGAGAAATTCTTTGACATAATAGTTATCAAAGGTACCAGGCTTATAATTTGATACGCCAGACGCTCGTTTCGCCTACATAAGACTCATCAGTGACGCTCAGATCAAAATAGTTAGAAACAAGTATAAAAGTGAAGAGCATTGAGGACCTAAAATTCCAAAAAGGTGTGCCAAATACGACTAAGGTAATCTGTGCCTGGGATAAGAAAATCCTTAGTATATAACCATAACCCTGCTTCATCAACTTTCTGCTTAGACACTGACGACGTTTTATAAAGTCTGGGTAGAAGCTGCAAGCTCTTGAATACCGAATGAGTTGGGAAATATATATCCCATATGCAGGTGAAGTTGGTATATTGCTACTAAGATGGGAGAATTGATAATTTCAAAATCAAAATCGTCTCGTTTGTCATAGATTCTGGTACTGAGATGACCGCTTATGTCAAAATTCGAGGTATAAGTCTTAAAATGAGGCGGAGGAATCCGTGTCTGTTGTTTCTTTAATTTCTAGTTCTGGAGGATATATTAATGGAACCCAATCAGAAAAGTTTGGATTGTTAATGGAAAGAACATCACCAATATATCTGAATGTGAACTTAAATGATCTGGCTTCTTTGATCTTCTTGTTCTTGACAAGTGTCTGAAGGAACTCCGACTCGTATGAAAATAAGAGATCGGCAAGGAGAGGCGCACAGTTCGTTACCATAGGAATGACGACAATTTGTTGAAAAAGTCTACCTCCAAGTTCAACAAATATGTTGTCAATAAGAAACTCCAGCATACTGATCACTTGTTCCTCTGTGTAGAATGTTTTACCTTTTTGTTCACTATTAACAAAATAAGCTGTATGGTTTCCCAAAGAAATTCATGTTGGAGTTCCCAGAATTATTTTGTCTACAAAGAGATTAAGTTGGATTATGTTTTAACAACGTGATTAATGAATCAATGTAAAAACAGGTAAAATTAGTGGAAATGAAAGAGAATGATAACTTTTTATATAGAAAACCTTTTGTTTAATAATTTTAAAGCATATGGTGTTAGCACAACTTCTATCAAATTGAATACATAGTAGTATAAAAATTATCATTAGGACATACCATCAAATTTCAGAAGCCCTTAATTGTTAAACATACAGAGAATTTACAGTGTCTTAGTTAATGTACAAGAGATGAGAAGAAGCAACAGCATACTGAATTGGAATGAGTTCTTCGTTCTGTAGTCTTGTTTTCAATGTTTCAAGTCGGTTGTCGACCTCACAATGTTTTCTTTCTTGGGAACATATTTCCCACCAGCTCTGTATTGTTTAAAGGCGCCTGCTTGGATGGCTTTATCATACTAAAGATGTTTGGTGGGGTGCCTTGACCATTTCTTCTATTTACTCTGCGTGCCTTCCGCGTGATTTTGTGTTCTAGGACCTTCTGTTGCGTAATGGTTCCATAGGCTTTAGTTGTCTTCAATCCAGTAGCTAGTAATATAATAAGTGAAAGCAAGTTGTTTATTAGTATTGTACCATCGATATTCTCTTACCAAACATCTTCAACTGTGTTGGGTGGTAGAAGTGGTAGAACATCAGCTCTCCGAAAAAGTAGATGGATGTTGTTGTTTTCTGTCTACAAACCATGTTTTAGTGCGTTCCTCCATGCATATCAGAGCTCAAAGTTACTTGGCTTAGCTTTATTAAAAACAAGTGGTCAAATTACTGCACTGCTTATAATTAGAATACTTTTTTAATTCATTGTTAATGGTCTTTAATTATGAAATCTCCTTTTAAATAGATAATAACTTATTCGTAATGAATAATGATTTTAATTTGATGTTAAAGCAAGCAGTTTAATAACGAAAAGATGATTGAATTCCCTCCTTTTAAAAAATAAATTTGTATTTTTTGTTGGTTTTGAATTTTAAAGATGTAACATTTTAATAAAGGCGTTTTCCCCAAAAAAATAAATTTTATTCATTATTTCACCTAAGGATTTGTATAGTGAGACTATACAAATCCTTGTTTCACCCTCAAAAATTATATTTTATTCAGTATTTAACAATTAATTTCATAAAAATTGTTATTTTTCCTTTTCTTTCAACAAATTATGAAAAGCCCAAATTTGGGAATAGACAGAAGACACCGTACAAGTAAACTCATCATAGATACCAGGATTGAAATTTTGTACGCCAGACGCACGTTTCGTCTCGAAAAGAGTCAATGACGCTCGAATAAAAAAAGTAGAAAAATTTATATTATTCATTACACTTTGTAACTAGAAATGTATAGCTAAAAGGTTCCATTTAAACACTAGAACAAACGTTCAGCAGATGTGTTTTTTTATCACTAAAGCTTTTAACAAAACCAAGGAGGTTCCAAACCATCGTGTAATATTTGATCTAAAGGTATATGAACTTTGATGAAATAGAGCAAGATACTCGCAGTAGATCAATGTGTTTAGCTCTAGACATTCAAGTTTTCTCCAAGGATAGCTGACAACATGAAATTATACAAAATCAACCAATCAAAAATAAGCAAGCAACAAATCAAACCAGAACTCTATTAATCCTTAAAACATATTGTTATAACTCCAATGAATAATTAAATATAAAAATAAACAATAACAAGTCCAAGGACCATAACTCTGCACAAAATTATTAGACCGAAACAAAAATTTGAACTTGATCTGTAACTTGTCATGATAAAACTATATACTAATTATTAATCAATATCTTATAAGCATGATGAAAAAATCATTAGATATGATTAATAGTTCTCTAAAATTAGATATGATGTAATACAGTGTATATCTGTTTTCAAATTATAATCATATATAATTAATAGTTTCAAATATTTTTTTCTTTCATTTGTCACAAACTAATATAGATTTGTAACTTATCTATAAAATGTCAACAACTTTTATCTACACAATGTAATGTATTGAAATATATACATTAATAAAAATAGATTATTATTTAATTACAGGATTTCTCTTCATAAGTTTTTTTTTATATATATAGCATTCAGAAAATTAGTTTATACTAAATAACAAACAAACCTGTCAAAAAATTCTTCAAATAATTTAACAAAGAATGTCTTTTAAAAAATGAGTTATCTCCCTTTGTACAGAAATATGGTTTAACATAATACTCTTACATTAGATATGGTCCAGAGTTATGGTCCATAACTCTGGACTAAATCATCATACCGGAACAAAATTCGAACTTGATCTATAACTTGTCATGATAAAACTATATACCAAATATCAAATCAATATCTTCAAGAACGAAGAAAAAAAGTGTGGAAAGCTGATTTGCCGGACTGACGGATGGACAGAGGGACAGATGGACAGACAGACAGACGGACAGACGGACGGACGGAGTGCAAACCTAAAGTCCCCTTCGACTTCGTCGGTAGGGGACTAACAATCAAACAAGGGGCATGTTTATCGAAACAGTCTTAGGATTAGGACAGGACATATCTTAATTCAGTTGTCTTACGTGGGTTTACTAAACGTGTCGCAAGTAAGGATTTCTCCTAAAGAATCTTGCTAAGTTTAGGACACCAATTTAGGTCCTAACTTTAAGATGTATTTTAAGAGGTGTACCTTGTATCTCAGTTTTACTCAGCCCCTCTTTTTAACCTCATTTTAACAGTTTTGGTTGCAACATAAGCAACTTTACTGAACAATAAAGATTTTATACTTCAGGAGAGCCTGTAGTTCGGCATCTGTCCCTGAGTTATGATTCCTGCCTTTAGTCATTTATCAACTCTATTAATATATTAATCCTAAAAACATATTGTTATGTCTCAAATAATGATAAATAGATAAATTGATAAATAAATAAACTATAAAATGGAATGTTAGGCAAACATCATATAACAGTAAATTTTAAGCAATACTAAGTCAATCCATTTCCTTAGTTATAACGACTTTTTGACTGCTTCGCTTCGATTACGATTTCATTGTGAACTGTATAGTATTATTCGACTGCATGTAAACTGCAGTGAAATAAAACATTCATTTCCGTTGTCTTAGTGAGATTAGTTCACCCTCTTAAGGTCATATTTCCGACGATGCCCTCGTGAAATAGGAATTTTCTTGGGTGAACAAATCTTCATATCTCCCTCAGGCACGGGAAATAAATGTATATTGTTTCACTTTGTTATTTTGATCCATATGAACGTATCTTATTACAAAATTATAAAGATTTATTGTTGTTGAAAACGAAATTATCATGATTTAAACTATTTTCGTGTGTTTTACATTTTTGATGTAAATTTTATCGACGTTAAAAAAGAAAAAAAACCTACTTCGAACTTAGAATAAAATGCTTTTTGAGTGGATTTTATAAAAGTATTACCAAGTAGGTGATATAAACTGTTTGATATTATATACATTTTTTCTCGCAAATAACATATTTTTTTACACTTACAATCTCTCAATGATAGGGCGGAACGAATCCGATATTTATATGATAGTAAAATAAATAAATTGAAAATGCATCAATTATAGTAACTGAAGTTACACATATTATTAATAATTCCATGAAGAGTACATGGTGCCTATAGACTTAATTACCCTAATCAACATCTGTATAGTGTTGATAATCGGCACGATCGGGTTACTTAGGTCAGGAAAATTTTGAAGGGAGCCGATATAATCATTAGACAACACACTGATAGGCATTAAGTTTTCTCCATTCTGCCAGGTTTTGTTAAAGGATTTCTTTTTGGCGGTAAACCACTTATTCTTCAGAAGCAACTATGTTAACATTAATTATAAGTGTTTTAATTGGAATATTGAACAGTGTTTTCGGTGAGTATGTTAATTAGTTTTTGTGCATGCAGTTGTTTCTTTGCTTGTAAAATGTTTTCATCACAAAGTAGATGAAAGGATAACAAAGAAAGGATACACATACTGAATCGATGAAACACGTTTAAAACGTGAATATATGGAGGTTTTCATACTTTTTTTTTAATATAAAGAAAAAATGGAAATGAATGTTTGTAGTTAAAAGGGTCCTATAGGGAAAATGAGAGTTTTCAGAGGGTTTTGGAAATGTCGATTACCAATGCATTAGCATTTTAAAAGTAAAATTCCGATAAAACCTGCAAAATTGGATTAAAATAGTTCAAGAAAAAATAATATACAGCATCAAAGTGAAATAAGTCGTTCAAGGAGGAATTGCTGTTACAGGTAACAAATGATTTTATGATGTTAAGTTTGGTTATTCGCAAGTTTGTAGGTATTACATTTGTAAGCAACGATAACATTTTCAATGGCTTCTGATTTATAAAAAAATGTTACAAGTTGTTTATCAGATGCAGAATCACGACATGAAAATGTAATTTAAACGGTTCCCACAGTTTTTTTTCACGATTTGTTTTTTCTCATTATGATTATGCACTTTACGTTTACTACGCTAATATGGCGGGGTATCAAGTAGTATTTCTATTATTAGAGACAGGTACTAATTACTAACAAGATGTCATTTTTTGTTTATAATGATGTAATGTAATGGGTATGTCAGCCTAATTGTCAGAATCATTGCCAGGTATGTTTCACAATCATGTTTAGCCATGCCGGTTGATAGCTCTTCGGAAGGGCGTCAAGTATTCTTACAAGTGTGTTAACTTTGACCACTTTAAAATCACCAGAAAAGTTTCTGTTTTCAAGTGAAAATAAACTTAGCTCACTACTTAGATTTGAACAAGAATGTGCATGCAGTAGTAAATTTCACATATGTTAGCAAAATATTCATAGTAAAATGATAATATCAAGTATTTAAAGGAGATTACATTATTACAATTATCATATAAGACTAGTTTATTTTCCTTTTACTGAAGAAATAAAAAAAAAAAAAACAAAAAACAAACTCGCTGACATATTACTTTTTGAACTTTTTTCTTGAAGTCGTGTAACATTTTTTTTCTTCAAATCTTCACATCCATTTTCATCTGAAAGACTTAACAGCCATTAAGGTATAGATTCGTATAAGCATAAATTTAAAAATTCAGTATCCGTTATGCTTTTTCATGCGTGAAATTAAATTAGTTCCAGATCATTTACCGTACAAAATGTATTGACCACGAGACTTTCTGACACGTAAGATAATTAATTGTTTTGATCTGTGTTGTCTCTACGGTATGATTTCTGATTGGCCCATTTGGTTACGTGATTATCAAATTGTATATAATTTTATCTTATCATAATTATCCCGGATAGTAAATTCATTAAAAGTTTGATGAATGGTTCTTCAGAAGCCAGTTGTCACCGCTAAGTTGCTCTTCGAGATAAGTTAACTAGAATATCAAAATAAAACAGATGTTAAATAGCACGTGGGAGGAATTGTTATCTATGTCCGGTTTCCGCATTCGGAGTGGTTAATTACAGTAAAACCTTGACTATGATACCACACACCTCCCTCCGTTCACTAAATCCTTGTAGCGGTCTGGTACACTAGAAGATGGTTTTTGCCATTTTCAAATTTGTCAAATTATCATAATTATGCCCAGTTTCATTGAACCGATCAATTCAAAAAGAAAAAAGTTCAATAGAAATAATGAAAAAAAGAAATGATAATAAAAATCAAACACTACACGCACAGGCATATCTTGTACATTCACGTGACTAGTTACGAAAAAAAGTTGACGAAGACTAAATCTATCAGAGTCTAAATGGCGTGGATGTAATCAACTTGGCTCACCATATGTATTTTAAAATCTACTTAAATGCGTAAAACACTTGTGTTGCACATTATAGTTTTCACTAAAAGCACATGAATTTATAACAATAAATTAACATTTCATACCGATATAACATGTTACTTTTATTATTCTTCCGTTAGTTTGTTTATTTTGTATTTACATTGTATCATAGGTCAAATTTATTTGTTCAGTGTATGTTCACTGGTGTTAATATGTCCTTTGATTGAGTTAAGCTATTTCAGTTGATATTTTATAGTGTGTCCTTCTATGTTGTGATGTTACACTATTGTTTCAGAAAAAGGGTGAAGGTTTGTTACCATTAAAACGTTTAAACCCGCTGCATTTGTTTGCACCTGTCCTAAGTCAGGAATCGGATGTTCAGTAGTTGTCGTTTGTTGATGTGGTTCATAAGTGTTTCTCGTTTCTCGTTTTTTATGTAGATTAGACCGTTGGTTTTCCCGTTTGAATGGTTTTACACTAGTAATTTTTGGGGCCCTTTATAGCTTACTGTTCGGTGTGAGCCAAGGCTCCGTGCTGAAGACCGTACTTTGACCTATAATGGTTTACTTTTATAAATTTTGACTTGGATGGAGAGTTGTCTCATTGGCACTTATGCCACATCTTCTTATATCTAATTAGTTCCTATGACTATTTTCCAATTTCCAACTTCGTTCCGATTTGTTATTGTTTTGCAAAGGCAAGGAAAACAACTTCTAGGTAGGACAAACTCTATCCCCACAAAAATAAAGAGTGTGGAATTATACCCAACGATATAATATCAACCAGAGACAAAGGACAATAAGTCATGTCCATACATCTTTTATGCACTTTAAACTATTGGAAAATTGAACTAATGTTGCCATTAGTTCCTATACTGTTACAAACATTATAAGTTCGTTAAATGATACTTGACAAGTATTTATTTACCGTGGAAAATTTTAAAATTATACGTAATTAGAAAATAATTAGTCATAAAACACTCTGTACATCATATTTAATGATGAAATAATTGCTGCATTTACCAAATCCCTGTATAGAATATACACATTTTTTTCTGTTTATTGTACAAATAAGTTTATAAATATGTAACATCATTAAGTAAAAATTTGAAAGATATGCCAGTTGTTCAAATTCGTTAAATGTTTTTAACTTTTCTTGAAAGGAAATCGCGCGCGCTCTCTTCCTTATAAAATTAACACACAATATCCCGCCCGCCCGCCCTCTCTCTCTCTCTCTCTAACTCTCTCTCTATCTCTTCTCGATCTGCCTGTCGCTCTTTTCAACATTGTCACACGACATTACATCCAACAAATATGTTGGTAAATTTTATCTTTCTTAAGAAAACATTTTTCGATTAGTCACACTTTAAAGAAAATGTAAATATCTGTTTCATCATGTTTTGAATGGTTCCTTTGTATGCATAGCGACATCTGGTAGATATTTTGGAGGTTGTTAGGTTGGCTTCACAGTGTTGCACACTTAAGCTCCCGTGGTGACACGAAACTTGTGACTGTTTAAACGGCATTAATAAAAATGAGGCATGGACGTAGGACTTGGTTCCTGTAGTGTGCTCAGATTAAAATGATCCACAGAAAGAATAGGTTGGCAGTTTTGTTTGGATTTTGTATGAGTAATTTTGGACAATTGTAATAATACTCCAGAGCTTGAATTTTAAAAGAAACATCGTATATTTATATTGACTTTGCATTTATTCAACAAAATGGGAAATATATAGAATAATTAAAAGGCAGTTATAGAAATAAAAAAAATGATCGCAAAGGCAGGTTCTGCCCAACTTGTCATACAATGTAATGGTTATTGAAACAGGAAAAGAAAAACACATTACGGCAATTTTTATTTATAAGGTTAACAAGTTTTGGAACTGTACTTTAAATCTTTCTTACAGCTGAATAATCTTATTGATAAATGGCATATTCATACTCTTGGTGTACAATCTTACTTCTGGTATTATTCAACAGCAGTTCGATAATTTACCAATTTGTAAAAGGACTTAAACGTTCTATCTGTTTTCTGCATTGACATTCTGTACATGTTTGTTCAGGTTATTGCATTATAGCTTTTCTTCGTGTACTGTTAAAGAATTAGATGTATGGAAATTATTGTGAAGAACATCCAACGATATTAGAGCACAGGACGACATGATGTCATGGAATATAGTTTCCTTTATAATATTTGTTCCACATGGAATATCATTTCCACAGGCATATGTTCCAAACGGAATAAAGTGTATAGAATATGTGTTACAACAGGAACAGATATTATGCATTGTTTATATCAAAGTTTCCAGATGAACTTCTGTTATGAGAAACAAATATACGTTGACAATAGTATCGACAGGTTAATTACTTTGAACTTGGCTTTCAGTGAATTGCGATGGTCACTGGTTGTCTTATATCATATATTTTTTAATTGTCATTTATTTGGAGAATTAGGTGTTGATGTCAGATATTTGGCAGTCTATTTAATATATGTACAGATTTTTAGACTCAGTGTGATTTAGAGCTTGTATGTATTAGATACACCTTGAGGGCGTTAGCCCGAATGATTGTATCTATAATTTACACCAAGATAAATGCAGAATATTAGTTTTCAATAATTTAGGAGGGGGTCTTTCAGCAATTTGACCATATACTATTGAAAAGCATGATAAATACAGGGTGTCCAATTTCATTTAACTACATCTTGGTTTAAATACATTTGTCTATAATGTTGAAAACTGTATATTGACCTCTAGACGTCTTTTGGTTATTAGTGTCGTTTATTGATGATATACAACTCATCTCATTCAATCCACCTTTTATTCATGTTATACAAAAACAAGATGGCATGATTGCCAATTAGACAACAGTTTTACTATCCATCAGAGTCCAAATGGCGTAGATTTGAGCAACTATAGGTTACTGTACTACGTTCTATAATAGTCAGTCAATTTTAAAAGACCCGACATGTGAAAATGTGAAACAATTCAAACGAGAAAACCAACGGACTGGTGTATGACAAAACAAAAAACGAAAAACAAATATGATATACAGCAGCCAACGACAACCACAGAACTAACTACATACAGGCACAAAAAGAATGTGGCGT